TTTTTATCTTTTTAAAGTGTTTGTTTATGTCATAAACAACAATGAACAACTGGAATGGAGAGTTTTTACATAATGAACCATGACTGCTCTCTTAAAAGTTACATAATATAATCCAATAAATAGCTCTACTAATTGAAAGTCAAAGTCACCACATGAACATCAACTTGGATCATCTTTACAAAACACAAAAGGGTGAAAGGTGAATTTTCTCTCTAATCTTTTCAAATTATCTCTATCTAGAAGACTCCTTTGAATTTGGGTTAATGTGATATATTTTCATTGAATGCTCTTAAAAGTTGTATAGCACGGTAACATAAGGGTCAGGCAATTAATAAGTTTGATCAAATTAAAGATGGGATTTAAAAAATGTTCCCTATAGAGGTTAACAGGGAGATGAACATTTCATAATGCTTCTTTTTTTTTTTTTCTGACCAGTTTTAAGTATTTTCTAAGTAATTTAATTTCTTAGTTTATCTAACCGTACACTTACTGATTGATTTCTCCAAGAAAGAAAACTATTAATTAGCAAACTATTGAAAATGTAAAGCAGGAATCTCAAGTTCAAAGTGGGCTTACATGGTCGTGATAATGCCAGGTAAGTCAATGGCTCTCAACTCCAGCTGCACTTAGCCTCACCAAAGGGGCTTAAAAGAACGCTGGTGTGTGGCTTTGTCTTGGATTATTAAAATGAAGTGAAGTAGGTCAGAAACAGGTATTTTTAAAAGAACTCCCCCTACTCCCCAGATGATGTCAACATGCACGTTGGTTGAGATCCACTGTTGACAGGAGTGCATATGAACAATGCATAAATGCACCAAAATTGGGGAGGAGGTGTGCTCACCAATGTTTTATTGGTGGAGTGAGCAAATAAGAAAATGGGAGACTGCTGAACTATGATACAATTTACTGAATGTTAAAACAAAGGTGTATATGGGAACATGATGAGAAAAATTCACTATGTGGGGGTAAGAGGGAAGTGGGACAGGGGTGCAGCTGGGTGGGGATTGGAAAACTAACTGGCACCTGTGGCGAAGCTGCAAGAAATTTACCTGTTGATGCTCCAATGGCCCCGATGAGTATGGCTGGGAGAGCCATCACCAGGCACCCGAAAGCCGCCAGGAAGGACAGCACTTGGGCGTAGGTGGCTGAGGATGAGGACAGGACCCTCTGGAAGTAGGCTTGCCATGGGATTCCACCCAGCATCTGCATGAGAACCGCAGGCACTCAGAGTACACTAGAGGTTTACTACAGACACGTTTAGAATAGTCATAATTATGGCTGTGACATATGTTAATAGAAAATGTTGTACATGCCATAGTTCTCAATTGCTATCATTGTATTTGCTGTGGTGTGAAGTTTATGTCCCCTCCAAATTCATACATTGAAATTCTAATCTCCAAAGTGTTAGGTATTAGGTGGGAAATGTTGAGGGATGATGAGGTCATGAGGGTAGAGCCCTCCTGAATGGTATGAGTGCCTTATAAAAGATGCCCAGAGGAGCTTATTTCCCCCTTCCATCCTGTGAGGATACAGCAAGAAGGCATCTTCTATGAGGAATGGGTCCTCATCAGACACTGAATCTGACAGCGCTTTGGTCTTGGACTTTCCAGCCTTCAGAACTGTGAAAAATAAATTGATGTTGTCTATATGCCACTCATTTTGTGGTATTTTGTTATAGCAGCCCGAATGGACTAAGACATTGTTATTGCCATACTTCCAATTATGCAACATTTCCTTAAATTATTTTCCTTTATAATGACA